CCTTTCGCCCCACCATGTAGAATTAAAAATTTAAAAACTGTACAGCACACGTTTTGGATAAAACCGGGCCTGGGAAGCAGGCAGGTGGCCGAAATACAGTGTTATTGTGTGTTTGGATTGTGCTGTCCCGGAGCGCCTCATTCTAATGTCGGTCTGGGGCCATTTAAGGGTTTAACCTCAGTGGACTTCTCAACTATTAACTACACTTCAATTAGGTGCTGTAAGCCTAACGAAGGGCCGAGGCAGCAAAATGTTGCCAACTGCAAAGAAACTTTTGAAAATCCTTTAGAGATTTTTGAAGTTTTTTTTTACAGTGAACCGTTCGATATTCCCACTGCACATTCAGAATTCGTGTAATCAACAAACATCAGAAAAAAAGCTTTTTGTGAATTTTGAGCTATCTAGCGGATGGGATTTTTGTATCGCGCACATGGTAATGAAAGCGATTAGCGATTCTCTTAACGATAAGCCTCGAAAAAATAATCTGGTTGTTATGAAATCCTCACAAAATTCATTCAACGTGTTCCTGGCTTGATGCCCATCCTCAGGCCAATGTACGGAAGCATGACCCTCTGTGCAAACATTGACACTGCTCAAGAATGATGGGTAAAACAAGAACCACTAGGATGTGCGACTGCATACTACCTCTGGATCACAACGGTAACAATATGACAACAGCGCGCGTTTTCGCTTGTTCTGAGCAACTTTGTGAGTGTGTCCTTCGCGACTCAGTGTTGGCTCGCGCCGTCCCACAAGGCCCACAAAGCGTGATCCAATATCTGGCGATGTTGTCATCAGCGTATCGGGGGCAGTGAAATAAGAACAGAATAAAGGGAACGATCTATTTTCTCTACAGTTTCAGATTTGCATCTTTGCACAGGGTGTTCCATAAATACTGCAACACGTTTCTTATCTTGTAACTTCTCTCAAAGTGGACGTATCTTCAAGTGGTCACACACTATTCTTAGTCCGTCCTTAAGATGTTGAAAGGAATGACATTTATTCGATAAGTCCCCTGTCGCTGTGAGTATGGCTTCCAGTTGCTTCGAACACAACTCTAGTGTTTCCCGCATGGCATCCTGGAGTGCCTTCTTCGAAACTTTCTAGAGAAAAGGCTTCAGCTCCTCTATTTGGATGCATTGTTTAGTGCAGGCTCTGTCCCCTAATATAGCCCAAATAGGATGGTCCAGCAGGTTGAAATCGAGAGATATGAGAGCCATTCGTTTGAGGATGTGAAATCGGGAACAGTATCATGAGACCAGTCCTAAACAATTTTTGCCCCTTATGCAGAAGCTGGCTTACCTTTGAAAAGAACGTCATTCCTCTTGGTGAACTTCTCACATTAGGTGCACCGTCGGGCATTTCGTTAGCTGGTCGCTATCGAGTTTCATGATTCGCTTTCAACTATCATTGGGGTGAGGACCGTTGTTCGACCACTTGCGGAAATATTCCATTCCAATGCACTGCTGGCACGGACTTCGTCGGCTCCTCAGTGTTGCGTGAGCCCCGCTCGCATGGAGGTTTGTCGTCAAGAAAAAAGGTGGCCCGCCTCTATCGCCATTTCTGGCCATCGACGCAGCTTTCTTTGAACTTTGTATCTGTGTGTTCTTCTCGTTGGATTGAGTAGTGGTGCTCATGAAACTTATGATAGTCTGAGCAGTAGTTAATCTGACCACAGATGGCTGTGTTTGAAGATTCCAGCGTTCTGGTCACCTTTCTCGAGCCAACCCGGGTATTGCAGTCGTATCGCTTTTTCATGCTTTTCAAAGATCCAAGTGTCCAAACTTGGGCGACGCAACGAAAGAGACTTCCAATTGTCTTCTCGCCTAACGTAGCCAAGAGGGTTAAAAACCCAAAGAACGCCAAGTTATCAGGGCACGGCGGGATTCGACCCAGCTGTATGAGAATTAACTCATGAGTTAAGTGCACTATAAATTTTCAACGAGTGTACCCGTGCCCATTGGCAGGTTATTCAAGGGCATCGAAGAAGTATCGTCGCTTTGGAAAAAGACTGTAGGACACGATTCACGAATTGAAGCTCCAAAAATCACAATATTGGGACACCATGTATGTGGGCGGAAGTGGTGTAGTGGTTACCACGCGCGTGGTCTAGGGTTCAAATCCAAGGTCGCACGTCGTCCGGGAAAAACAAGCCTTCCATCGCTCCATGGTCACTTGTCGTATAACTTCTAAAGGATAAAAGCACACTGACTTGACATAATTGTGCCGCCCGCAAGTCAGTCATTGGCAAATAAACATCAAATGATGCCGCTATCTTTGAATGGAATAATGCCGACCGGCATCCAAGACGGGATTGATGCAAACCGGATTGCTTATCCTTTTCCTTTCGAGTAGCCACCGTAGATGACTTCTGCGTTTTGACTGGCCCAGATAGACGATCCATTATGCTGTTTTCGACAAAACACAAAACGGCGTAATAGTTATTAGGGTGCTCTATGCATTCTTTTCCATTCAGAGTTGTCGTAAAGTATTCGTAATTAGTAGCTTAGCAATCTAAACTCAAGAGTTTGCTCACTTTGTTTTAGGGCAGTAAGAGGCAGAGCAGGAAAGAGACAGTCACAGAGCACAAAGTGGAGCAAGAGCAGACATCAGCAGGACTAGAAAAAGTAGAAAAAGTTGAAGCGGTCGATGCGGTCTTCACAAAGCCCTAGCACTCTGCTGCAATTAAGAGCAGGCAGAACGATACATCTGGACCTCATCCACACAAGCTCATCCTGAATTGGCCTCAAAAAAGCTGTCAAAGTGGCGATTACCTATTGTTTGCTCTCTAATCCACGATATGCGACTTCGCTTAACGGCAGCATGTAACCGCCAAGAACAAGGGCTTCTAAAAGACCTCGCGAAAATCTTCTTGACATTAATGCATTATGATCATTGGGAGAGCAGCACACAAAGTTACCCATAGGATCGTTCCGAAAGAAACTAAACTGCAGACACCACACTCTATGGACAATCGAGTGCTCGGACTGACCAAATGGATACATGGAAAGAAGTTGCCTTGGCCGCTACGTAACAGTAAACGCAACAAAATAAATCTGAAGCGCGCGATTTCGGAGAGTAGAGACAAATCGATCGATAGAATAGGATGGAGTAGAAGTGTAAGTGAATGCAATAAAGCAGAAGGCCAGAAAGAGTTTCTAGTGAAGGCACTCCAAGAACCAAGTGGAAGCATCCCCGTCGCCAGCATTTGTGAAAGACGTCCGTGGGCACTTTGAACGCGTAGCAGCTCCGGTTTTTCGAATTTTTTTAAAACAAAAGCAATATTTTCTGTTCTTTTCATTCTTATCGTGGATAATGAGCCGCCTCAGCAGGAATAAGGCTGAACGCATCCTGGTTTTCCGTGAAGGATCCTTTAACATATGAGGATAACCGAATTGATTTGTTGACTCTTTTCGCAATTTTCTGTTTCACTCATATCAGCTTCTCAGCAGAATGGAGTTGCCTTTGCTTAGTGCGCTTTCCCACAACAACGGTCACTTGCCTTATATCAGTCCCTCTTAGAATAATAGAAGCTCGACGTATGGCTTCTACCTTTGCTCAAATTCTCATCTCAAATATGTCATAAAGCTTCTCGTTCGCCTTCCTGGACCCGCTTACGAGGGAAAAAGGACATTCTTCTCATGTTCTACCCGTCCTGAATTCGAAGCAGCAGGACTATAGACATTTGGAAAAGCAGTACAACGAAACAATGCACTGTAAAATGAACGAAGCGAGCTCCACAAATTCACTTCTGCGACAATCTACAGAAAATCGAACACAGCCCCACTTTTTTTCTCGATTTTCACACCCTCGAGCACCTTTCCATTATGCGCTAATTAAGAGGCGGGAACTGTTATAGATTGCACAAGATTACCGGTAGACCAGCAGGTGACTCCGAAATTCCACGTTCCTCCAGAAAAGTAATAAAACCCTCCATGAATATCCTCACAGGAGATCGAAGCACGTGATCAAGTTAATAGTGAAGCACACTACATTAAAGGACGTCAATGCTGGGTCTTCATAAACACATGAGAACACCACCACCTGTGTTTGAAGCACAAAATACAGTGCCCACACGCTAAATTGTAGAGACTTTAATTTATGGGAAGGAGGGGGAGTTCCATTAACTCCTCGTCATGTGTATCAGAGAAATACCCACCTCTCATGGAGCTCTATCCCCAGTGAAGGGTGAAAGGGTTAAAATGAATAACAAATCCAAGAAAGCTCATCAGAAGGTTAGAGCAGCCTGTGCATATTGAGTCTCTCGTAGAGGCAATATCCTACAATTATTTATCGAGTAAACAGGTTAAAAAGGAATAAATTAATCGATTAAAAGGCATGTAAAGGGGTGGCCAAAAAAGACACTTGCTCATGACTCATATCAGCAGTTTTCCATTCGCACAGGCTGCCGTGGTCGATGGAAACCTTTCGGCAAAATATTCCTTAAATGTCCCTCCATACGCAGATGCAACCCCTTCACTGCCCTCACGTCTTCAGAATATGACGTCATCTGCAATCGCCGTCGAGCTCAAGGAGGTCTACCGTAATTGCTCCAGCCTGAAGCACTTACATGATTACTTCATCGTTAACTGATGGATATATTCCTAGAGGCAGTAGCTCTGAATATGCAACCCTTTCCGACCAGCGTTTCAAATAACGTCGTAATGGTCCATGATCCGTCGAGGACCACGTTGAGCTCGAACCGTGCACAACGTTTCCATGGCCAATTCTTTTGATGTCGTCAGTGTAGAAGGCTACGTGGAATGTGCTCTCCAATATTCACCCAGGCGCGTTCGGTTTGAGTTCAGCAGAGCGTGATTGGTGCCGTTTCGAAGGTGGAGTGAAGTGTCTCGTGCTTTTGGCGACCTCCGGATATATGTATTTATTTATTCGTTCCGTGGGATAGTGAGCCAAATACAGCTTAACTTATATTTTGCACGAGCCTTCAGACGCACGCCAAGCACAGAAAATGTCCTGTGTCCGCGCTCATTAAAAGGGATATAGGAAGGGGAATTTGAGTGCGTATAAAAGAAAGACAGAAACTTCATGTGTCCTTCCTACAGGGGTGGTCAGGAAGAAAGGCTATTTCCTGTTTTCAAAAATGAATTAGGCACGCTTGCAAAGCTCAAGCCGGATCCGAAACATGAAATCGCTTTTATTTCTTCGGAGAACCCCAGTCTAGGTGCCAACAGCGACTGATTAACCTTTGAAATAGAGGTGCATTTGGATCATGAATTGAGCATTTGAGACATAGGCCTTCATGGGTCGAGTACAGTTGGAGTTACGACCTCTTAGAGACTGTCAGTTAGTAACTAATAGATAGAAAAAATGTGCAGTAGATCAGAACTGATGACCGCAGAATCTTCAGGTCGTCGGCCGTGAAGATCACTACAGTTTTGAGGATGGAGATGACAGCCAACAAAGCTTGCCTCTGCTACTCGAAGAAGTTCAAGAAACTTCTGGATTAGAATCGTCTAGGATCGACCTTCTTTTGTTAAAGCTCAACCCAGTCCTTCGAGGGTAGTTGCCCTCGCGTCACGGCGGCGTTCATTAAGGTAGGCCTAGTATCATATCTTTAGCGATCGATACCGTTAGGTGGTTTACTAACGAGGAATGCTCAATTGGTCAGTCCGGCCATTTGTAATGAGGTGTAGTCCGCTGTACTCGTCTTGCGACGCTGAGCTCAAATCCGTTTTCGGTATCTGCGGAACGATTCTCTGAAAGAAGTTACGAGGGATTCTTCTCACTGTGGCTTTCTCACTATGGCGCCCTCTACATCCTCGCATCCCGCTTGCCTCGCTCAAGTTGAGCCGGTGAGGAGTTCTGATGTGGGACTGGTGGTGCAGTGGATAGCACGTTTGCTTCATATTGGTGAGGTCAGATGTTCAAATCCTTGCGCATGGCAAACTTTTGCATTTTTTCAGGGCTCCTCATACGAACCCAAAATGTGTTTATATTTGGATATTTTGTCGATTTGCGTCCCCCTTTTACATCTGGAGAGGGCAGACTCTGGAATCTCTCGTGCTCATTTTTTCGGTTCTTCGTTAAGATGAACTTTGACACACAGAAGACTCTTAAATTAACAATATTTCGAAAAGTTATTCCAGCTATACGAGCAAATATGATAGTCCCTCACAAAATGATCAAAACAAAACAGATGTAAAAGGGAGAAGCAAATCAACAAAATATCCAAATATAAACACATTTTGGGTTCGTATGAGGAGCCCTGAAAAAATGCAAAAGTTTCCATGCCCAAGGATTTGAACATCTGACCTCACCAATATGAAGCAAACGTGCTATCCACTACACCACCAGACAGAACTCCTCACCGGCTCAACTTGAGCGAGGCAAGCGGGATGCGAGGATGTAGAGGGCGCCATAGTGAGAAAGCCACAGTGAGAAGAATCCCTCGTAACTTCTTTCAGAGAATCGTTCCGCAGATACCGAAAACGGATTTGAGCTCAGCGTCGCAAGACGAGTACAGCGGACTACACCTCATTACAAATGGCCGGACTGACCAATTGAGCATTCCTCGTAAGATATGGAAATAGTCTTCAGTATTGTGGAGGCGTTTGAGAGGGCAAGTCATATTTGTTCTTGACTTTTTCAGGCTCTGACGAAGGCGAAGTTGCCGAAACGTTGGCCTAATAAAGTTAACTAATCTTGGTCGGCTACAATCAAGCATTATTCTGGATTAGAGCTCACAGTAACAACAATACTCTGTGCGATGCCAACTGCTGTTGTGCACCACGAACAAGGTGAGTGTTTTTGGCCATTCTTACACTTTGCGTCTCACACTGGTACAGCCACCTGAGGTTCAAAAACTGGTAATCTAACATGCTTCTGAATGAGTTTTCGAATATAATGTTTCAAATACAAATGCGAATTCAAACAATAACGTTAATTCCAGTTTGAGAACACCAAAAAGTACTCCGTTAGATTTTTTGGAAAAGTTGCATTATGTATGCCTTGAGCGAAGCTATCACCGCATGTTTCTCCATTTACTCTAGTTTAGATGAATATCAATTCGTCTATTTCATGTTATCGCAAAGGGGAAACTGTTGCACCTTGGAAAAGGGCAAATCAGCATATCAAAGAATGTGGGGGATGTGTTAGGCAGTCAAAGATTTGAATCGTTCTTAAGAAATGGTCAAGAATTCTCTGAGAATCCTGCGATGGGTGATTAAAAAATGTCGGGACTCCCCTTTAGGATTACGGTCAAGGTAAATGGGCGCTATAAGGAAAGCATCTAATTTTATCATGCTTTGCTCGGAAATCGAGTCCTATTTCAAGCTCAGTCTCTTGGCGAACGCTGTTTGATGCGTGTTGGAGAATTTCAGAAACATTCTCAAGCCGAAAGCGGAAACGCTAGAACATTCGACAAGCAGTTGTTTTTGCCAAGAAGTGTTCAGATCAAGTTGGAATTTGTCCATATAATGGTGATCGCTACTTCATTGCTAGGAAAAATTTCTAAGAAAAATGGTCTAAGGCGTGGAACATGTTTTGCACAGTAGTGCCTCACTTGTCCTATTACCTTAGTTAGCCCATTCACCTGTTGCTCCGTATGGACGAAACTTTCCAGTGTTTCGGAACGCTATTCGAAACAGATATGAATCGCCATGTATCAGTCTGCTCCCTAGAATTCTTTTCAAGTGCCACCTGGTAATTCACACGATGTTGAAGTGTGTGGAGTGTGCTAGCAAATCCAGAAGGAGCAGTAGCCTGGCCCAAAAGATTCGGGAGTTCTGACAGCAAAAGCCCAACCTCCTCTATGCCCGACACTTCTGAGATGTTGGTGGTGAGCACGAAGGACCGTCTAGCACTGGGAACCACTGCCCAGTGATACTTGGGTCAGTTTATAAGGCAAGCGTCTTTAGCGTTAGCAGTCGTCGTAATGACGACCTGTTTTATTTGAAGGGTTAGCGAGATGAAGTCTTTTTTGTTTGGTTTCAAGGTTTTATTTTCTGAGGTCATTCGACCCCACTTTTCGGAAAATATTCATAACAAAGTTGGAGGCCGTCAGGCTGGCAGTTAGTCCAAGCTTCGCCGTGGAGCCCTATCCTCGTACCAGTGAAGGGCAACCTAGTCTGCGCTACACCACACTTGTTCAGGAAGAAATTTCACGCTAAGTGACATGACCTCATGATGAAGCCTTTGACGCCCCACCCCCCATCCCCCCCCATACATTGAGTATCATAACGTTTTCATAGCGGGGGGCGGGCCCTTTCTTTAAATTCTCATTCATACACCATTTAGACAATTAATAAATTTATTATTAATAATTTAAATAATTAATAAATTTTATGGTCTATCAAACCCTAACCATGTCGCTGCTCGAACACCTTTGAAGGATTGGCGGTGAATCGAAAGGCATTTGTGACTCTTCTGAGCGCTAAAATGAAGCTACGGTAAAAATTCATCAGATACCGTCATCATCCACACCCGTCAACCTCTTGTAGCATCATAATTATGAGTTGCGCTAGTACTATCTGATATTGTACGGGTTCTGCAACAAGATTTGGTGGCGGTATTTAAGCAGTCTCTTTTCAGAAATTAGCATGGAGTGTGCTATTTGAGCAGTAAGCCGCACAATATGTTGAAAAGCGTAAGAATAGCCGAAGCCGTTTGAGTTCAGATTTCCTATTCATTCCAGTCTGTTTAGGTCTGTGTTACACCCATAATCCACAAAACTTGACAGCGGATACAATAGAGCGTCCAGATGACAGGCGATGTTGTAGTGTGTGCTTTGCGATGTAAGAACTGAACCGCTCGATGCACGACATGTTGGTCAGTTTTTGCGTCAGGACATCTTACACGAAATGATGCAAAATATACGAATGCAAATATTTGTGAAATCTGCGATAGAAACCGTTTGCAAATAAATACTCTCAAGTACTACCGTAGTGTCCAGCGCGGCATTGCGATGGAAGCACTTCGAATTAAAATGAATGTTAAAATAAATTTAGCTGCACTTGTAAAGGTCCGCGATCGCCGTGATTATTTTAGTTGCATGATAATTTGTGATTTTGAGAAGAAAGCCCAATTTGAAATTGGCGGATCATCTCTGAACTAAACATGTACAGTACTGTCAAAAATTCACCGCGATGTTTTTTGCCAAATCTCATGTCAGACTTGATATTTTCGGCATTTTATGATACAATATAATCAACAATTTAAAAATAGTAGCAAAATCTACCTTCATAATTTTTTTTATTTCCGCCTGATGATCAATTTTTACAAATTTTTTCAACTTTGCTCCGAACATGACTAAGTCGACTTTAACGTTTTAACAAAATTCCAACGTGTTATCGAATATAACTTTCTACTACGATGTACCAGCAAAATCGAACTAGGGAATAATTTCAGAAAAAAACCGAGAAAAT